TAGATGTCATCCGAACATCAATGATACTAAGCTAGCCCATGAATAAACATGATGTGAGGATGTGAAATCCGGTGACTGAAGTATATAAAAATGTAGCTGGAAGAAAAGGCGAGTCTCCCCTTCCCCCCTTCCCTGGGGAGTTTCAGAGTTGAGCAGAGGAGGGGTGAAACAGCAGCCGATTTAAATCTCAAGGTCCTCTTACATCTTAAATTCCTATGAAATCCTGTCAAACTAAGAACTGCGAGTCTAATAAAAGTGTGTGTTGTGTGTGTGTGTTTGTGTGTGTGTGATATCAATGCTTTCTCTTTTGGAGCTGGATGTGTAGTAAAAGAAACAAAATCTTCAAGCAGGGAAAAAAGACAGAATGAAAGTCATGCTTCTCTAGTGTTGGTGGCATTTTTCTAAAATCTAGCACACAGCCAGTGAGGAAACAAATGAAACTAAAAATATCCTCCCTGGCATAGAGGTACTTTTGACAACTTGGGTGAAGAAGAAGGTAAAGAGAATTGATCTACAATAACAAAGTTTGCGTATTTTTTACTAACTTTCCTAGAGAGACTTCCATCAATTCTCGAGTGCTCCAGCTTGAGTGAAATCCCTTCACTGGAAAAGAGGACACTTTGATGGGGCTCATATTTTACCTATATTTTCATCTCACAACCCAAAGCTCAGGAAGTAAAAAAAACTGCTGCTTTTGTTATTATGAAGCCTTACACAGAACAAATACTGCAATCTTTATAACATAATTTCCCATCCTATTTGACTGTACCCAGTGTAAAATGCTGAAACATTTCATTGTGCTGTTGTGTTCTTCCAAAATACATTGCGACAGCAAGACCATTTCAATCTGTGAATTTCAGAAGCATGGACAAGGGAAAAAGTGTGTGTGTGTGTGTGTGTGTGTGTGTGTGTGTATGTGTGTGTCCATAAGTTCCTTTTAATTTCATCTAAATAGGGGTAAAGGAATGCCACCTTTCTTTTTGGTTTGTTTTTTTGTTTTCAAGCCAGTCATTTTTTTTAAATGAAATTCCACTGAGATTTTGATATGGCAAAGAAAGTTTATTTCCCAGAAAAGCCAACAGTGTTGAAAAGATCCTTGTGTTACTTTGTTTGCCTGGTCATGCTGGTCCTTTAAAAAGAGGTGAGGTCCTATTCTAAGATATTTGCTTTTCTTTGCCATAGAAGATTAGGGTTCTAAATGATCTTCTAACCAAATAACTGTGGGGAGAGTGGGGAGGAGCACTTGTAGGGAAGTAGGACATGGATGCCCCAGTCAACTTTAGGGTCCCAGACTCTAAGGGACGCAGAATTGTATTTCTCAAAAAAGATATTAATTCCAAGACCCTAGTTCTCAACTCTCCTCTTTGGTGGATGAGCTAGTTAACAGATGCACACTTATTGAAGACCAACTTTGAATCTGAAACTGCTCCTTCTAAGTGCTCATTTTATTTACTTCCCCTATTTTCTTGGATGTGGGGCCACATCCAGTGGTGCATGGGACTTATTCACGGTCCAGTGCTCAAGGATACCCTTGTGGCAGCACTTGGGGTGATGGCATATTGTGCTGATACTGATCAAAGCTGGGTCAGCTGCATGCAAGGCAAGTACCAGAACCCCTGTACAAATCTCTACATTCCCTATATGGGCTCCTTTGAAGCAGAATGTCAGGATCCCTGGCTTTGTGGATCTCTCTCCACCTTTATCCCATTATTCTAGTGCCATTTGTGATGGGGGGCCAGGGGCAAAGAACTTCTGCCTGTGTTCTTGATTCCAGTTCCTGGTGCTTTTTCCTACAGAAGAACACCAAACGTGGGACTTGAGCAGAATCTGAATTTTTAAATTAAAGATTCACTAAGAGTTATTTACAGAAGAAGCAAGACCCAGATTCCTGCCAGTTAGTAAGCCAAAACAAAAACAAGAACCTTGTTAGAGATTAGACTAACTCACAACCCAGAGCTCTTTAAGCTAAAAGGAGCTGCTTCCAAAGATTTCATTTCCAGTATGCTTTCACTGCATCAATCTCTATGAGAGAATGGCCCAGAGTCAGCGATAGAAGCTAAGTGAGTAAATACTGTTATTCTTTACTACTTACTTTCTGAATTTCCAGAAAAATGGAGGTTTCCAGGAAAATTCTACAAACTGGATCAAAATGGATTTATCACAGTCTTGCTACGATTTCTTTCTAAACAAGTTTACTCAACTTCACTCAAAGGAGTGAATTTAAAAGTATTAAGAAATTAAGTTAAAAAGGAATGAAGTTTAAAAAGTATTGCCCAGATGGGAGATACGTAAGTGTGTATATGTGTGTATTATTAGAAGTCAATGATGAGTATGTAATAAAGAATTATAGCTAAAAGAGACAGACAAGAGAGACACTCAATCATTTGGGTGAATCTGTTTGCTCCGAATGATTGAGAGCTCTGGTGAGTTCTAAATTTTAATTCTATAGATAAATCACTCAACAATCGATTTGCTATTGATGTGAATAAACTGGTAACTCCTGTTGGATACTAGTGACTTTTGCTCCAGCCAATCCCTCACTAGGACTCAGAACAGCTTTATCACAACTAATCATCTTTGTTAAAGGCATAATACAACTTTTTCATGCAAAGTTATTTTTTTTTCAAATGCTTCTAATTGTAGCTCAGATCCAAAGCTTAATGTCAATAAAATTTTAGAAGAAATGATTTGATTCTCTCCTTTGAAAATGAAAACACATTTAAAAGCTTGGGTTCATGACATTTACCTTTGGACAAAGAGAAAAGAAAGATAAGAGTAAGCATTAGAATAATTATTTTTAAAAATGAGGTAGAGGGGAAATGTTCAGGGGATCTCTGCTCTGGGTTGGCCCCAGAACACACCAGAAAACAAATCTTAGGGCATTTCTGTTCGAGTCAGGTTTAAAGGATTTGTCAGAGCAAGCGTTCCTCTCCAGGTGCTTGAGCTTTATGAAGGAGGGTTTTTTTCTCCTCTGAGGTAAGGAAATTCTTAAAAGTAATACCCCATAATCCAAACAAAAGTTAGGCGTGTCCAAGTCAGCCCTACCAAGACACTATACCACTTTTTAGAACACATGTGGATTGGGGGTGGGGTCTTAATGATAAAGTAAGTGTGAGGACATGGAGCTCCCCAGCCTGCAGGTTACCATGAGATTTGAACCCAGAGGTTTCCTTGCTCACAACTGACGAAGTTGTCATTCAGGACCTTCAAAAATCCAGAACTAGAGGAATCTCTGCGCCTGCCCTCCCAACCAAGGAGAGACAAAAACCCCTTTCCACTACTCCTAGAAACTTTCTCAAATGTGAAGCAGGGCATTGTATTGTAGCCCTGCTGCCTTTCAAAAATTGAGCCCATATAACCTCCACTCTCCTTTTATTTATTTATTTATTTATTTATTTATTTAATGAATCATTTATTTTAAGACTTTTCTTAACCTCGTAGTTTTTGTTTATCACTATGTACATGAAATATATGATTCTAAAAAGTAGCCTACCACCATCAATCATTTCTGGAAGACTCCAACACAGACTTGCCCCAAATATCTGAAAGAAATATACAAAGTGGCATGCCACACACACACACACACACACACACACACACCATACAAACTTCTTTTATTACCAATAGTTGCCCACCCCAAGCAAAATAGTTTAAATTTATGTAAAAGCTACTGGCTTAATGAGAGCAACAGTATCATCAATCATAGTTAGCATCTGTGGTATAACAAACATATACCCCCCAAAATAGCAATATTAAAAAATGATATTTTTGAAAAGATTAAAGATAATCTTTTTTTGAAAAGATCAGTCCTCGTCCAGCTATCAGCAAATTAGAAAACAGGTTACATCTTGTTAGCTGTATTAAAAACATTTAACATCATGAATTCGCCACAGCTCTGTTGACAATTCAAGCAAGTGTGTTTTATTGTACCATACAAGCTTGTGTCCCTTTCCAGAGTTGAGAGTCCATCTTCATCTAAAATTTCACCAAAGCTATTCCAGGAAAGCGCTTTGCCATAACCCTCTGGGTATCTGTACTCTGCAGAGACTGAATTCTTAGTGATTTTTACTTTCTAAAGTGACTTTGGTGCAACTCTTTCTCAACACACTTCCACACAAAGCCCCAAGTTACAGGCTCAAACTAGCTGCAAGATGACCCGACAGCTAAGTTAGCACCGAGAAAAAGTCAGCTGGCATTAAACATTTAAATCGCAGGAGGCAGCCAGGAGTTTTGCATTTACAAAGTTCTGAAAGTCCCGTTCCCTCGGCTCCCAGCGTTCCCAGGCCAGAGGGGCTGATTCCCCTTTCAGGCACAAGACTGCAAATATGCAAAAGCTTGAGTTCACTTAAATGCAGATCTAGCTCAGGCCAAAGGTAGAGCTCCTTAGGAGACACTCCCAGCTGAGACGGAGGAGCAATCCCGAACCCCTTGTCCCAAGCAACTGGTCTCTGCCTTGGGCTCAGAAATATCCAAACGTGTGTCTCTCTTGGGGGCCAGCTCTTAAAAGTATGCGGGGATACTCTCAACCACCTCTCCACCTCTCTTTTGATCACTTTGCAAAGCAAACACAGGTCACAGCAGACTTCCTCCGGGATTTGTTACAATATTATTTTGCCGCATGCACGGGATTGCCAAGTAGATCCCTGAATTATATCTCCAGAAACACTAACGGGACTTATCGGAGCTTGCACACCCCGATTTTTTTTTGGGGGGGGGGCCGTGAGAGGGGGAAGCAATATTTCTGGAGACCCAGCAGGCGAATCAATTGCTGGGTTGTCTATTTCGAGATTCCAGCAGAAAACTATCGCCAGCCCCAAGAGTTGCAGCGCCTTCCTGGAATCTCGGCGTTCAAACTAGTGGCTCCATCCTGGCGCTGGGCTCCACGAACGTGGTAGTATCTAGCGGGACACTTGCCACGGAACGCAGCGGCCACCCCAGGCGAAGCCCACTGCACAGTTTGCAAAGAGACGCGGCCACGCAGGCAGGGCTGAAGGACTTACCTCCGTGCGAGACTGCAGTCTCTTGTTCATCTCATAGATTCGGTACTCTGGCTGCACCATGTAGGGTGTGTGTCTCCTATAAAATGGGCCGAAAGGCGAAGAATAGAAGGGGTCGTGTGGTGTGCTGGACATCTTGCCTGCTTGTGGAGAATCACGCTCAACAGAGTATCAGTAACGTCCATGCAGAGCACATGGGCTGTGTTCTTCACAGTACAAAGTAGGCGCACGCACACGCTCGCACACACAGACACACAGACACACACGCGTACACACACACGCGCACACACACTCGCGCGCGCGCGCGCAGGCAGCCAGCCACCGAGCACACTGGCTGGGAACTGCTGTCGGAGCCCTCCGGAGCGAGGAGAGGGAGAGCGCCGAGGAGGGAGGGAGCAGGGAGGGAGGACGGCGAGGAGGAGAGGGAGCTAGGGAGCAGGAGCTCCAGAGAGAGGGAGGGGGCGGGGAGGGAGGAAGGAGGAGGGAGGGAGGGAACGCGGGAGGGAGGGAGGGAGGGAGAGAGAGAGAGAGAGGCTGGATAGCTTTAGGCACCAGTGCTTGTTTTTTAAGAAGCAGTTTGTGGAGAGGTCATTTCCTGTCCACACTGTAGACTAGTTCAAAAATATAATTCTCCCTACAGCCTGACAGGGGTCTAAGGTTCGCTTAGGGGCTTTCCTTTAGCCCCCAGTCAGGACCCTTTGCAGGCTGGTCGGTAAGCTTGTTAGCATATTCATGGTTTAACCCTGTCTACGCCACAGACATGCCCAGCCCCGCTGGAGTAATGGATCAGAAAAGTCTTGGTCACAAAATACAGACTCCCAGGAGAGTGGGTCCCCCCCACCCCACCCCAAATTTGAACTGGTGATTCGTGACCTGCAAAGATTTGCCTTCTAGCAAAGTTCCCTAGCCAGTTTGGGCTTTACATGAGTTCCAGAGTTTCTGGGAGTCCGCATTTCAACCCCTCCTCATCCCATCGCTCCCCACTCTCCCCCCTTTTTTCTAAGCTCCCTACCCTCTACTCCCATGACTTCCTTCTAGCTGGTTTCAAGGGGCCTGGATTCAGGTTACACAGGCATTTTCAGGCAAAAACCTCAATCCTGTAGAATATGGAATTGCTAAAATCCATCCATTGCCAAAGGGGGGGGGGGGGGGGAAAGACATGCAGAACTCCAGAAGCAGACCTCCCAATAAGATAGGAAAAGCAAGAAGGAGAACACGCCCACAAAAATGACCATGGAAAATTCAGTTGAGTAGGAAATTGCAGATAATTGAATGGATCATCCCCAAATAACATGTCCAACTCTGATGGAGACAAGGTCTTTATTTTCCAAGATTAGTTAAGTATATAAATCTTTTCTCAACTGTGGTATAGGGTAACTGGAAGAAAACCCTCATGGCCCATGAGACAGGCAAGGATCACTACAGAAAATTAAGTGTTCTATATGACAAGCAAATTTTGCTGGAATCAATGACAACTAGACATACACCCTCAAAGAGAGACCAACCACAGAAAATACAAAAGGATTGCACAACTAGGGAGCTAGGTCAGTGCTGGTTTTTTTAAAAAAATAAAGGAAGCAAGCAGAGACCACCAAAAAGACAGGATGCATGCAAGACCTGAATGTAAATGCATGCAAATGAGACATTTCTCCTTTTTAATAAACAGATTAATTAACTTTCTGCCCCCATCCTGGCTTGGGGTGTCTCCAAGTCACTGGCCAACAGAGGATAAGGTATTGCTAATTCTGCACTACACACTCTTCTCAACACTCAGGAAGGGAATCACCCCTAAATTGCTTTCAGAATCAGTCCTTTCCCAGAGTGCCCTCAGGACTCACCAGCATAGGATGGCACTTGCAGGGGTGAGTTGAAGGGGGCACAACACCCAAGGCAGACCAGCATTCAGTTTCAGCTTTCATTCCACATCCAAACGCTGGGCTGAATTTGCTGTAAAGTTTGTCAAAACACAAGACCTTCTAAGACAGGATTTCAAACAAATTGGGTGTGATTTATGCTTTAGAATGAGGGCCACTGCAAATCCTAAGGGTTCCTTGTGTTTAAATTCCCCAGCTGAGGAGGTTCCAAGACTCTGGGGCCTGCCTGTGTTTACCTGGTTGTGTCAAGACAAGGAGAAAGGTCACACCTAGCAGGGACATACATGTGCAGCCTCACAGTCATCCAAAAAAAAAAGAGAAAGCTTAAAATTTTTCAAGATCTACGCAGGGAATCCCTTTTGAGCACAAAGTTAAATTTTGCACTCACTCCAAGTTATCTTGTGAAATATTCCGCCTGTTACTACTTCAAGACTTGAAATTCAGAGATAGATGCTATTTCTCCACACTTGGTCCCTGCACTATTTCTCATCCCTGCAACTTCCAGAGTTTTCCAAGTGGCCTCCTGGCTCCCAAAGTTCCCAGCTCTTTGAACATCAGAATGTTGAGTGCCGAGAAATTAGATCCTGCGCTCACATTTCCGCCTCTGAGTTTCCATGTCCAAGCAGGAGAATGTCCACTCTTCTTGGCATGACACATGCTCCCCACCCCACAGCAAAACTTCCTCCCCCAAACAACTTATATATTTCACTTGGTTTACTTGTCTTTGCTGCACTTGAACTTCCCGAGGTTCCAATGTCATTTCATGCTTGCATACCTCCCTACCTCCGTCCCTCACTTATTAGCAAGCTCCTTCTTCCTCAGACCCTATGCAACTGAGCAGTCTCCTTCCCTGTGACCCTCTTTAATTTATTCCCTATTCACTAATGTCTTTATTTCACAGATAGTTTCTTCACAGTGCAGGGAGGTGGGGAGCCCCCTTCCATCCTGAATCCACCAATCGCCTTTGATTTCTGCTCGCCAGTCACCTCATGATCATTAGGGACTATGCAAATGCCATTCTATCAAGACTGTTGCAGAGGAATAGATAAGAGGCTGTTCTGGAATCTGTTAGAACCCTCACGCGGAAGTGCTCAAAAATATTTTACCATTGTCCTCAGGTACCTAATCCCTATGTCAGTACTTGGGAACATGAGGAGTCCATGTGAATAGAGAAGGTGGACCACTTGCCTTCCCACCTCTTGCAAGGTGATGAGGGTAAGAGAGAGAAGAGAGCCTGAGCAAAATAACCAAGATTGCTCTAGCTTCTAGCTAGAGCATGTCTAGCTAGGAAATAAAAGAAAAGGAGAGGAAAAAAATCATGTTTCTTCTATCTTCTTCTACTAAAAAGACAACATGGAAGCCCAGTAGCTGCAACATTAAGATCGCTATGAGGCAAACATGGCAGAGTGTTTTGTTTGTTTCTTTGTTTGTTTTGTTTTTGCTTTTTGGGTCACACCCAATGATGCACAGGGGTTAATCCTGGCTCTGCACTTAGGAATTACTCCTGGCAGTGCTCAGAGGACCATATGGGATGCTGGGAATCGAACCTGGGTCAGTTGCATGCAAGGTAAGTGCCACTGTGCTATCGCTCCAGCCCTGGCAGAGTATTTTTTGCAGATGTTCTTCGTTCATTTCACAATAAACAGATGTGATTGATTCCATGCTCCCCCCATTTTATAGATAGGGGAAAGGCAGCTTGAAGACCTTGACTCCTTCAAGGTTATAAAATGAACAAGCAACTGGGACAAGATTCACAGTGTCCTGCCTGGATCTTAAGGCATTTCGTGCTTTGGAGCCTGGGCCCATCCTCTCCAACAGGGCATCTCTGTTCTTCATCCACATTAGCCAGCGTGATGATGAGCCCAAGGGATGCTAAAGCCATTTCATTCTACCAGAATTAAATGGATGAAAAAAATCCTCATCTCCTGGATTTCATTTTCTGTCCTGCTCAATTTTAGAAAGCCATTACTCCATAACCCACCCTGCTACCCCCTTCTCCCTAAAGCATAGCCAAACCACTTCCACTAAGTTATCAGTATCCCAAGTATTCCAGCCCTAATGCCCAAGGTTGCACTGGTAGGTGTTGGATTAAACCTTTGCTGAGTGAGGTGATCTGCCTAATGGACCACAGACAGGCTAATGGTCTGTCTATCTCCCATCGTGGTATAGAAGAACCTCTGTCCTTCTGGTTCTTCTTGAGCTGAACAAGTAATCCCAACAGGGTCAGGTTAACAAAAAAATTTTTTAAAGCCTCAATAATATGTATAGAAAATTTCCACAGCAACAAATTCTAAAGAAAAGCAGAGAGGTTTGGGAGAGGGGTCCTGTGTTAAGGGCTCAAGTAGAGAGGGAGACTTCCCGTAAACAAAAGGAGACACCTAATTTTTTCACTCGAGAGTAAGCCCTGAATGACAAACTTAAACCTGGATGATACTTAAACTTATACCCCCAAACTGTACTCTCGGTCACAAGTAGCTGGGGAGCAATGGTTGATCCTTTGATTAGAAGAGGCAAAGGATTGAAATGGGGCAAGAGCAGCATCAAGGGTCTTGACTGCTCTGATCTTAAAATCACCTGAATAGCTCAGTCATGGGGACAGTTTCTCCCCAAGCTAGCAGGAACCCTCAGTTCCCTAGCCAAGGTGACTCTTTACTGGATGGTGCCTATTCTGGGCCTCCTGAGTTAGCCTACTTAGCTGAGCTAAGCCTTTGGGGAGATTGATTCTACACCCCCTTCCTTGCTTCTGCAGGAACCAGCTATGACTCATTTTTCTCTGGCCCAGGGCTGAGACTGAGAAGGGAAAAAGAAATAAAGGACTCATTTTAAGTCTGCAAATCAACTCCTTCTGGAAGCTATGGGGCCATTCAATAAGTAACAATGGGGAACTATTTTTTTTTAAAGAAAGAAACCAACAGGCCTTAAGCCCAATGAGAAGGTCTCTTGCTCCCCAGGAATGGCCCCCTGTGAGTTTCTGTATTGCTGGTATGTTGAGTGGTGAGCTTCATGCAGATATGCAAAGTAGTCTGATCTTTGAGCTTGGGGCCTCATCGTGCTCTATTCCTCTTATATTTCCCCGCAGAGGCTGAATTTTCCCAAGCATTTGAAAGAATGGTGAACAGTTTTCAAAATAAAGGATTTCACATCAAATGTTGCCTTCCATCTTGATCTAGAAAAAACTGGAAGGTTTGCCTGCCTGGTTGCCTGGAAGGCCGCTTGCCCTCAGACCAGACTATCCCTGTGTCCAGCATCAGGCCTCCACTCTGTGTGGCCTTCATCAGCCAATGCCTAGAATTTGTTTTTGTAGAACTGAAGGTGGTTGGGGCCACACCTGGTGGTGCTCAGAAACGGATCTCAGGAATTGCTTCCAGTGATAGTCGGGGGAACATATATGGTGCCAGGGATCAAACCAGGGCTGTCCACATCCAAGGCAATTTCCTTAACCCTTGTACTATGTCTCTGGCCCTA